ACATTAGGATGGATATTTCTTGTTGATGGATTGAAAACAACAACCACCCAAAAAAAAAACCCCAAAACGCACATACAACTTCTCATTTCCCCAGAACTTAACTACGAATAGCCTTCTGGGGACCAGAAGCCTTACAACGACAAAACCGTTGACTAACACATATTTTGTATGTTATATGTGCTATATCCTATATTCTTCCAGCAAAGTAAGCTGGAGGAAAGGAAATGTCGTTAAGAACATCATCAGGGAGAGACAGTCTCTTCATTGAGCGGAAGCGGGTCATCACAAAGGCCATCCTCCTCTTCATCTCCGCGTGGGGGCGGAGGGTGGAGGTGCTGGTCTTGCTGCCTCAGGGGTGGCAGAGGCAGAAGAGGCGGGAGACCGAAGGGGCGGCAGGAGAGGCAGGGACACCTGTGTCACTTTTGGTGGAAGGCAGCTGCTCCTGAGCGGCCCCGCGCGGTTCAAGCCTGTGTTGTTCGAGGGTCAACTCAGGACGAAAACCCATGCTTTGAGGTGGACACACGCCTTTTACTTTCCAGCAGCTTCTCCTTGGATGCCCCCATGCCTTTCCTCCTGCTTCCTCCCATCACGCAGCCTGCTCCCGTTCACTTCTGGATCAGCCCAGGCATCAGATCTCTTCGCGGCATAGTTCCAGTGCTCGTTGGAGCAGCGGCCTCTCTGTCTTCCTCGTGGCATGGTCAGTGTGGCGGTACAATTCCGTGGCTACTGTTCAGCCGTGAGCTTGAGGGCCCAGGCCACACACCACAGCTCTTTTCAGTGTCCATTATCTGGCACAGGGCCTGCTGCATGCACGTTGGATTTTAATTAAAATTCTAGAGCTAAAAACTAAAACAAAATGTCAGAGCTTAATCAGGTAAAATCCAAATGTGGGATATCTCAGAATAGTCTCCTTTGATATTTGTGAATGATGTGAACGTGAGTATGAAATGATGCCTCAGTTTCCTCAATCTTGGGTTCCTATTTCAGGAGTCCGTGAAATTTCAGCGTTTCATTGCAGGTGGTTCTCTAACTTTGGAAAAGGAGAATTCATTTTCTCAGGGTTGTCCTGAAAAGTTAGCTCATGAATAGAACTAAGTACACATTGTCCTTTGGCGTGATCATCTTGACTGCAGATGGAGAAAAACTCAAGACAATTTGATTTTTTTCAAGGAGGAGAAACGGTTGCCTAGGCATACTTTTTTGCTGTTGTTGTTAATATACTCAGAGCTCTTTTCGTTGCCTGTGAGAGTTGAGAAAATTGCATTCTGGGAATTGGGTTTAGAATGCTGTGTGAGGGTCATAGCATGAGGGGAGGATATAATTTGAAAACAAAGTTCTGACTTTTTGAGTGAGACAGTTTCCCAAAGATCTTTTAAAGTTCCCTTAAAAACAAGAGGAAGAAAACACTAGTATCTGAAGTTTCTATTCTTGACTCCAGCAAGAAAGGATCTTTGTTCCATTTTACCAATTGTACATTGGTACCGTGAGAATTTAGCTTTGAATTCTTGGGTTCTTTAGTGGTAGATTAAAGTAAAGTGCCCGTTTCTTGTTCATTACTTTTTAAAATATGCTTGATGAGACATTTCTCACAAGCTTTTAACTCCCTGTGATCATAAACGAGCAATTTAATATTGTTTTTCATCTTCTAGGGATAAAGTATAATCCAGAAAAAAAAAGACTTTGTTACCTAAGAAAAGAGTGCAGAGTGGGTGAAGAATGGTAGAAGATAAGCTTGCGCTCTATGGAAAGCAGCTTATGGTCGGGTGAGGGTGTTCTGTCTCGTGGCGTGCTCGGGTTGATGTTTTAGATACCACAAACCCAGGGCAGTCTGAGTAGGCGTGTGAAAGGTGACACAAAAACAGTCACTAGGGTCACCTGAGATGCAGACAAGACGGGAAAGAAAGATCCGCCAAGCGTGGAAGTTTCCATCCACGTCAGGGACCAGAGTCTTGGTGGGTGCGTGAGGGCCCACGAAGGAGCGCACTCTGGCGGCGTGTCAGCGAGCCCACTGCATTCTGACCTCCTCTCTCAGCTCGGTGGCAGCAGGATCCGGAAGGAATAAGCCATCTCACTGGGGAGGAGTGAGGGCACATGGTGCCTGTGGAGAGCCAGGCTCCAGCTAAGTCAGGATACCAAGGTGGCTCTAAGCGAAAAGGTTGTTCTCAGGGAACCAGGCCTGAAAAATGGTACGAGAGGACCCCGAAGGCCCCAGAATTATAAAAAAAAATTGTGTATTACGCTTACAGGTTTAAATTTCAATCAGTCACTTTCAAAGTCCTCTGCATTGGATGCAATACACCCATCAAGATGTTTTTTCCACTGCTCAAAACAGTTTTTGAGCTCGTCCATTTTGATGCCTTTTAGCGCTTCTGCCATTTTTGTCTCACCTCTTCCACATCAGCAGAATGTTTCCCTTGGAGGACTTTTTCCATCTGGGGAAGCAAAACAGTCATTTGGGGTGGAGCACGGGAGTCATACCCTTTGGGGCCCAAGACTGCTAAATAGTGCGGTGTGGGCAGATGTGGGTGCTTGTAAGTCACCCATCATGAAATGGGCAAACACGTTGAAAGTCTCCCAGAAAAATACACTGAAGCCAAATGCAACCTCTCACAACACTGGCTGGTATATGGATGCCAGTGGGTTCCTAAAACACTTACCTGGAGGGAAGGAAGCCTGCACCACCAGGGGCCTGCCCTCCGAAAGATAGTTCCAATTTTGGGGGGCCCCCCCTCGTATGTCGGTGTTTCTCAGTCTTTTTCCTTTTGCGACACCTCTCTCTTTGAGACTGATTTATTCATTGAGGAAATGTTTATTGAGCACCTATTGGATACCAAGCCCACTACCGGATACCAAGATGTACAGTGGCAAGTCCGTAAGTTCTTGGAACATGGACAAGACAGATAGGCACTAAGCATGTTGTGTAGGTATTAGTGTTGTGTGTAGTATATGGGTATAGGTGGATATTTAGGGTTTTAGAATTTTAGAGCCTTTGCAAGTAGAGCTTAGCCTATTCATGGAAAGACGGACAGCGCAATAGCTCAAACCTGAAATCCCAACACTTTGGGAGGCCAAGGTAGGAGGATTGCTTGAGCCCAGGATTTTGAGACCAGCCTAGGTAACATAGTGAGGCTTTGTCTATACGAAAAGTAAAAAATATTAGCTGGGCATGGTGGCTTGTGCCCGTTGTCCCAGTGTCTTTGGCGGCTGAGTCAGCAGGACTGCCTAAGCCCAGGAGGTTGAGGCTGCGGTGAGCTATGATCGTGCATTGTGCCACTGCACTTCAGCCTGGTTGACAGAGTGAGACCCTGACTCAAAAAAAAAAAGACAAAAATTGGTCCAAGTAGCAGTCTGTTTTACAGGTGTCAAAAATTTCCTGTTTCAGTCTCCAGTTATAATAGGATAAAAAAGCAATACGAGGGCTCCACAATGGCAGAAGTGTTCTCAACTTCCAGATCATTCTAACGTGGGACTGGGATAATACATCCGTCACCTTCTTTACCCAGGGTCGCTCATGCGGGTGTTCAGCATATCCTCCCTGAGGGTAGCAGCATGATGCTGCATGCCAAGAACATAGCAGAAGACAAGTGGAAAGGGCCCTTGGTCTCATGAAGTCGTGTTCTGTAAAAATAGTCATTGCTGAGAACTAACTCTGTGCCAGGCAGTATGCTAGTTATTTACAGTATCGTAAAATGAGTAATATGTCGTAAGATATAATCCTCTGACAACCTCACTAGATACAAGATAATAATAACCAGTTTTGTAACTGAGGAAACTGAGACTCAGTACAATTAATTGGAATTAGCCAACCACAGCTTTTCCAGAACGCTGGGGTCAAGCGCGTGCAGTACACCGTGCTACCGCTGCCTTCCAGCGTGTCAAGTGTTAACATGGCGGAAGTGAAGAAAGGAGGCCCGGCTTTCAGGGAGCTTACAGTTTGTCATGTACAATTAACACTAAAATTCCAGCAGAAAAATGAATAAAGGAAAAGAACAAGATACCTTTAAAAAATGTAAAATAGCTAATAAACAGATGAAAAACATTCCATTTAACTTGCAGGCACATAAATGAAAATTAAAATAACAAGATGCCATTTTCACCCATCAAAGTGGAATGTGTGTTTTTTGATGGTTGTAGTCAACATATGGGTGACATGACCGTTCTCAAGTGCTGCAATTCCAATATATTCTATATTCTATTTTTAGCATATTTTTTTGAACAGCCATTCTGGAAAGCAGTATTTATCAAGAGTCTTAAAATGTTTATACCCTTCAACCACGAAAGTTCATTTCTAGGTGTCTATATGAAGAAATGGCTAGAAACTAGATCACATCATTCTCAAAGTGCTGTCACATTTTTGTATTAGGGAAAATTTGAAAATAAGTAAGCCAATCTGGATGACATAATACTGTACTGCCACTAAAAAGTATTAATTTTGGAGTTCATCTGATGATGTAGAATATGTTAATAAATCTCAAATTTGAAAAAACAATAAAACAGTGTATGTAGCATTCTAATTGTGGGGGGAAACGTGTGTATGTGTGATACATTAATTCAGACCACATTAATAAACTAGAAATAAAAATACTGAAAGCGATTATTCTAGGTAGTTATGTAGAGGTCATCTGTATTTGTAGCTTCACACATTCTGCAAATTTTCTGAAATGAACTTCCATTACATTTATGATTTTATTATGAAGAACTACTAGTTTTTGTTCTCTTTCTTTGACCTCCACAACTGGGATGGAACTTGAGGGACGACAGGGGTTGTGAAGAGGAGATTCCAGGCCACCTTTCAAGACTGTTCTTTCAGAACTGAAAACACACTCATTTTTCTACTTAAGCAGTTGTAAAGACAAGAGGCAAAACCCTTTGATTTATTTTATACTTACAAGGCTAATGTGGGGCATCGTCACATTTACATAATTTATAAGTGCTGGGCACATTTCAGTCGTTTGGTTTCAGAATATACAGATATAAGAGGAGTACTTATTTCTTCACAGGTTTTACAACTGCCTGCAGCATGCTTTGGAAAGAGAAGCGATTACAAACTCACATCCCAAGATCGAAGAGCAAAACAACCCATCATGCACTCATAGGAGAAAAAGAAACCCAGAAAAAGCGTGTGGCAAATGTATTACTGAAGAAAACGAAAAAGACCTGGAAAACGATGATGACGGCGTCGATCTGGGAACCAGTGTTGCCATCTTCCCTGAAGACGGCTGAGATCTGGCTCTGAAGCAGCCTGATAGTGTTTCTCATTCGTTTTATAAAGCTGCTCTTTATAAGAGTATCTTAGTTCATTGAGTGTATCAGCCATTCAGAAAAACAAGATTTATTTTCTCTGTATTTCAGAGAAACTCATAAACATAGATGGCTTTCTAAAATAGCTTTGTGTACTGTTTACTCATTAAATACTACTCTTTTGAGTCACACAGAGATTCACTGCAAAGATAGAATTATGATTTTTTTAGTGCCTGCCTCTTTTTATTTGTTTGCATTTTTACTTCTGCAAAACAGGAAAACTAAGTACAGATTTTCAAGAGACCTTTGACATCAAGGATACTGGAGTAAAGCTCATACTAACATTTCACCTGGTTTTAACATTGAACCCTCCAGCCTCCAGGGAAGGGGTCAGGGTGTGCTTCTGTTGCCGGGGAATCCAGTGACAACTTTCCTGCCCGACCCACCTCCTGCTCTGGCCAACCATGGGGCCTCCTCAGGGGAGAGCTGTTATTGTCTAACAGTTTTCTCTCTTGTTGGACTTCTTCTTTCCTGATTCTTTGGCCAGAGACAGCTGGCCTTTGTTGGAACGTTTTTTGCCTGATCCTGTTGGCAATTTTGGGTTGCTGACTTTCCCTGTGCCCAGGTCTGGGACACATGAGATTAAAAAACAAACAAATCAGGGAACTGTGTTGCTCTTCAGATTCCAAGATCCTTAGCTAGTCCACTTTCCTCTTTACTTTTCAGAGTCTTCTTATGTTTGTTTTATCTATAATGTCCAGAGTTTTAAATTGCACTGCTGAAAGGAATGTGGAAAGGTATGTGTACTCCATCTTCCCAGAGTCTGAAGTCTAATGTATGTTTTATAGATTTAGAGGGTACAAGTGCCGTTTTGTTAGACGGATCTGTTGCATAGCAGTGAAGTCTGGGCTTATAGCAGACCCATCACCTGAATTGTGTACATTGTACCCAACAACTCATTTTTCACCCTTCACCACCCTTCCACTCTCCCACCTTTTGTAGTTTCCAGTGTCTGTTATTCCACTTCATACAGCCATGTATTGCTCATTGTTTAGTTCCTACTTCTACACAAGAACATGCAGTATTTGACTTTGTTTCTGAGTTATTTCGTTGAGGATCGTAACCTGGAGATTCACCCATGTTGCTGCAAAAGACGTGATTTCATCCTTTTTTATGGCTGCATAGTATTCCATGGTGTGTGTGTGCATACACCCCCTCATATATATATTTCATGTGTATATGTATATATACACACACATACATATCGTGTGTGTGTATGTATATAATGTAAACATAGCATTCCATGGTGTGTATGTATGTGCACCATGATATATATGTCTCCTATTTTCTTTACCCAATCATCTGTTGTGCACACTTAGGTTGATTTCATGACTTTGCCGTTGTGAATGGTGGTGTGATAAACATACGAGTACAGGTATCTTTTTGAAGTAATGCTTTCTTTTCCTTTGGGTAGATACCCAGTAGTGGGATTGCTGGAGCGAATGACAGTTCTATTCTTAGTTCTTTGAAAAATCTCCATACTGTTTCCCATAGAGATTGTACTAATTTACATTCCCACCAACAATGTATCCTCACCATCTATTGTTTTTGACTTTTTAATAATAGCTATTCAGACTCGTGTAAGATGGTGTCTCACTGAGGTTTTAATTTGCTTTTCTGTGATGACTGGAGATATTGAGCATTTTTTCATGTTTGTTGGCTGCTTGTATGTCTTGTCTTGAGAAGTGTCAGTTCATGTCCACTGCCTACTTTTTGACGGGCTTGTTTTTGTTTTTGATATTGTTGAGTTCTTTGTAGATTCTGGATATTCATCCTTTGTTGGGTGCCCAGTTTGCTGACATTTTCTCCATTCTGTAGGTTGTCTGTTTACTCTGTTGAGTACTTCTTTTGCTGCATAAAAGCCTTTTAGTTTAAGTCCCATTTGTCTATTTTTGTTTTTCTTACATTTGCTTTTGAGGTCTTATCAAATTCTTTACCTCAGTCAAAGCCCAGAAGAGTTTTTCCTAGGTTTTCTTCTGGGATTTTTGTAGTTAGCGGTCTTACGTTTAAGTCTGTGATCCATTTTGAGTTAATTTTTGTATATGGTGAGAGATATGGGTCTAGTCATATTTTCTGCATGTGACTACCCTATTTTCCCGGCACCATTTATTGAATAGGGTGTCCTTCCTCAGTGTATATTTTTGTTGACTTTGCCAAAGATCATTTGGTTGTAGGTATGTGGCTTTATCTCTGGATTCTCAATGCTGTTCCACTGATATGTGTGTCTATTTTTATATCAGTACAATGCTGCTTTGTTTCCTGTACCTTGTAGTATAATTTGAAATCAGGTAATGTGATGCCTCCAGCTTTGTTCTTTTTGCTTATGATTGTTTTGGCTATTCAGGCTCTTTGGAGGTTCCGTAATGTGTTTTTGGAACTATTGATAACATCAAATTGTGGGGGAATTGCTGAGGACATCTTTGCAACCCCGTGCAGAGAGCCATGGATCCCTCATTTTAACGCTGTGTTCTATTTCCCAGCTGGTGTGCTTTGCTGCTTTTGCTTGAGGCGACTGGAGCCTCTCCACCCTACAGGGAGAAGAAAAAGCCTGCAACTCTGCTTCCTGTCCTCCTCAACCACCACACACGCATACACTCACTGCCTCACAGTCAGTAGTGACAGGTGCAGAGCTTCAGATGACAACTTTGTTGCCCAGAAATGGAGTGACCTTGGATGTGCAGTTGTGATCTAAACTCCCAGCAGGATCAGGCTGACACTTGGACTTCACTTGAAATGCTATAGTTTGTCCCTGCTCCCTTACCAGTTTCTCCTGGGAGTCCCCGTTTAATCCCTTGCACTTGAATGATGCCTTCTTCTGCAAGTTCTGGACCCATTATTTTGGATACGTTTTTTGAAAGTGATGGCATAAATCTATGTGAAATAAGTACATATTTATTTTAAGCAATAGTTGATACTTCAGTGCTGGAAATTAGCATAACAGTTGATATGCTAGAAATTATATCCTTGGTTGTGATTTAAATCTACGATGCAAGCAATATTTCTGATGTTAAGTACATAGTTTTAAAAATTCTTTTGGGGGGTATGTAATAATTTTTTTTTTCCTTAATCAATATTTTTTATTATGGTTTTGTGGGATACAGTTAAGGGTTAGGTGTACAATTA